AATCATATCCTGTATTTTTGCTACGATTTGCAGTGTTGATGCCTTTTTGGATGTCCTTTACGTGTATTGCTTCAATGAAAACCACACGTCTAAAGCAGCGAATCAAACAAACCACATACATATGTTAGCTGGGCAAAAAGTCAATTATATCTACCGAAACTCAACGCAGTTTTAGAACTCTCTCCCACACACTTTTATTGTTAACTTGCATTACAGTTTGGCATTTTTTTTTCTCTGTAAGGATTTGTTTCCGTTTCGCTTTCAATTCTCTATATTAATCCGTTAGTACAATAGTTGAACTTGGTTTTAGTGAAAATTCTAAATAACGTTTCTACAGTCTATCTACTATGCTGTGTCGATGCCCGTCGTACTAATTAGTTAGTTCGGCTGCGCAAATTGCAATAACATTGTCAAAGGCGCCACATAGGGGGGGGGGGGTGAGAAATCCCAGCGAGTATTTATATCGATATGTTATCTAGATGGTCTTGGCTAACCAATGGCTCATATATTATATATGGAGAGTAAGAAAAAAATACAAAAATCGAACAGCTCTATGCTTTAGTTAACGCATTTTCACCTGTGATTGTAAACAAATTTTTAAGCTCATGCCATATCAAGCAAATGAGATAAGTAATAAAGGAAATGTAGAAAGGTCCTTAAAATAACGGATCATGGTGTCGAGCTCTGCAGGCTATATGTGAGTACTTATAAATAAGCACGAAATACGCCATCATTTCAAGGATCCAATTCAACAAGCTTCAACACTCGACACAAACAACTTACGATAAAAACAACAAAACTGATCCTTTCCAATACATGTCGACCTACTATCGGCGGATCTCCAGACATCGGCAGTCAACTCTCTCACAATGATCAATAACGTTGCACACAGTACGCAGGTGTGGTCGCATGAGCAAATCCGATAAATACTAACAGAATTACTTTATTATTATATATATGTATAAAATTTGCTAAGCAGTGAGTTTAATTTTGTATATTTAATAATATGCTTTCAGCCGCAAACAGGATGAGGTCGTCTCATTAGAAATGCAAATACGCCAACGGTCCGAGGAGCAGAAGAAATCCGGCATCGAATTGGGTGCAATCTGCCACATTTGCCTTCAAACGAAATTCGCTGATGGAATTGGACATATTTGCCATTATTGCAACATCGTGTGTTGTGCGCGTTGTGGCGGAAAAGTGACACTGCGCAGCAACAAGGTAAGCGTGTGCTATCAACGTACTGTACCGTTGTTTAATTAATACTCAGGCACTGATAATGAATGACAGTCAACGAAAGCCGAAGTCCAATTAGCTGAGCGACCAAGAAGTTTATGAATAGATACACGCTAGTTCTGCATAATTATATGCTACTCATGACACTCATGTTTCCATGTAGCTGGTGGTTTGTTACACATATCATAATAAGCCTATTTACATTTGACAGGTCGCTGAGTTCTAAAAGTAAATCTGACAGGCTTTCATGAAAGTTTCTCAACGTGTGTTCAGAAGCATTAATGAGTTGAGGAAGTAAATTTAAACTGTTTCGCTTTTGTTTTCGTTTCAAGGTATCAAGATAAGAGAATATAGGCGTTTTTATAATTTTAAATTGAATCAAAAACATATTGCTGGTTTTACAAAATGCAAATTTTGTTTAGAACATAGTATAACCTAAAATAAAAATCAACTAGCGTGTAGTTGACTAGAGAGATGGCTACTGTCAGGATAAGATCAAGCTCGTTGTTTTGAAGACGTGTGGAGGCTAACAAGTCTGCAGAGTTAATAAAACTATAAAAAGAGTTATATCAATTGGTGACACGATTACGTTGACTCTTCAACTATAATGTCAAATTTTTACAATAAAGAACTTTCTGCTTTCTATCGTGACAGTTGCTGAAATGATCGTGCCCAATGGTTTATACCAGAGGTAATGGGATTATCGAAACAATCGTATTCTCTTAGCCATTTTAGTCAAAAAAAAAAAAGCGGAAAATTCACTCTCCACTGGAAAGCCATGGCTCACTGGCTTCTGCGACTTACAAGTTACTATTTACGTCGTTTACTTGATGAAGGGAAACACACAGGGCTCTACTTGTGTTGAATTACTGAACCGATTTTACAGCGACTTGCAAAAAAGCCAGCTCCACCCATACTGCCGCCGCTGTCATAAGCAAATTGGTCGAATTCGAGATATGTCTTCTGCGACATTTTTAATACGTGGTCGTAGATGATAAACACAAGTCACAGATTTTGAAACTTTATTGGATTCTATCGTTTTGACTTGAGAATGAAACATTTTCAAAAAGCATTAACTTTTTTAATTACTTAAACGCTTGAAAAACATATAAAACGTTATATAATACGTATATTATTAGCCAGCATAAATATAAGTTTTAATTGAAAAACCACCAGAAACCAAAGTGCCAACTGTCCTTCAACGATAAATGTATTTAAGTATGAGCAAGTTGATAGTTGCCAAGCGGTATTACTCGTATATAGTACATAGCAGCATATACTGCACAGCTTAAAACATATATGTACATATAAGTATACATACAAGGCACCATTTACCACAGATTTGTCGTCTGTTTGTGATTGCTTTCTTTTCAGTAGCCATTGTCTTAGCAAAAAGTATTAGCACTTACATGACCTTGAATTCAACTTAATTTATGTGTTTGACATAACGCATGTGATTCCGCGATGTCTTGCGGAATATGGGTCAGATGAGAGTGTGATAGGCGAGTTGCCTGCAAAAGCGACATAGGCCGAGCTAAGAAAAAAAATTTAATATATATAATTGTTTTTGGCAAAATATCGAATTCAATGCGGAACAAACACACACAAATAAGCGTATGCGTAATGTTTCTACGCACATGCATGCGTGGCAGAGGCATGGTGTTACATGCCGTCTGAGTCATAATGCTGTTCAGGCCTTACGTTTTATATTATAATATGTACATGTTGAGAGAAATATAATCATAGCTCATTTTTTTTTTCTTTTTTTTAATAAATTCTGACAAGCAAAGTTCCTATTTGAAAACTCGAAATTCCAGTGAGTTTTGATCACTCTTCCTGTTCATAAGGTACTGATTTTAAGCGTTCGGCTTAACACTATTTCTCCCATTCCTATGCCATTCTCTCCATGTTTTCTAATATCAGCAACACTATGATTAGACCACACTCAGCAGCAGAGTGTCCCTCTATCACTGCTACCAGACTTTTATGCAATTACGTTTCCTAGGAATGAAGCCATGAACGTTGTCGAAACTATAGCAAGATTCCAAATTATAGTCGTGACAGAAATAATTGTGAAAAGCGGTTCGAAAGTCGCCAAAGAAATACTTTTGACATCTACGAACAGAAAATAGTCGCTCGAGTCCATACCTAGACAGTACGGTAAGCAGTGTGCGGAAGCAATACGCAGCCCAATTCTTCGATTTTTGCTACCGTTTTCACTGATTTGTGAAACAGCATTTTATTTTTCATCGGATGAGGTAATTTTTCGGCGATTTCGTTCTTCAAACGGTCCAATAACGCTTTGTAATAGTCGCTATTGATGGTCCTTCCTATTTTAAGGTAGTCAATAAAAATGATTCCATGGGCATCCCAAAACACAGGCGCCTTAGCCTTGCCTGTCGACAGTTGTATTTTTCCACGCTTTGTAGCAGTCTACCTAGACGATTGTCGATTGAACTTCGAAGTGAAATGGTGAACCATGCTTCATTCATTATCTCATATCAGATAATAGTTCGGTTTTATTACGCTTCGATCTGAACAATTTCTTCGTAGAATGCATCCTTGCTTTAGATATTAATTTATGCCAAATTTCGTATTAATATCTCATCAAATGATATTGTTCTCCATACAAAGATTTGTATTTAGTCGAACAGTATGTATGGCAACTTTATAATATAGCAGTCCAACAAAAGAGCATTTTCTTAGAAGGAAAGAGATGTGTGCAAATTTTAATAAAAATTAGCTAGTTCCTAAGACATAGACTATGTAAACATGCGGACGAACTATCAGCCATGGCTAAATCAACGTAGCTCATCACACTGATCATTTTAGTGGTGGACTTCGTAACTTTATATACCCATTACAGGGCATAATACCATTACTATACTGTGTATATAAAATATATCTGATCGAATTACTCATTCCTCTTACCTCTCACATATCAAATCAGGTAATATGGGTCTGTATACTCTGCCGCAAAAAGCAGGAACTACTTTCAAAGACTGGACAATGGATGAATAAGGGACAGCAACAGGATAGTTTCCTGCGACGCATCGAGCCTGATGGCAGCAGTGTAAGTACAAAAACAACAACACCAATATGTCCATTATACAACTCAATTATATTTTACTCGAATAGGATATCTCGCAGCAGGCCATTGTCGATCCGCATGACACACTGGACAAGCGCCCAAAACTGGAGCGAACGCGCAGCGCGGCTGAAAAAGAGAATCTACCAATGCAACGAACGGGAAGCGTGCTGCGCCGGCAATATTCCCAGCAAGAGACGCCCACAAATCGGCGCATGTCCGCCTCCGACAGTGGCGCAGATGTGAGTCCCGGACAACAGCGCCAACGACCCATGCACCAGCAGCAGCAGCAGCAGACGCAACAACAATATGGCTCGCAAGGTGGACAGCAACAGGCGGGTGGCGGTCAGCGGCCATTTCCTGATGACGATCCGCGCTATTATCAGGTATGCATTTGGAAGAAATCTTTTTTGTAGTAAGATGTTAATTAAGATATTCTAATAAACTTACAGGGTGAACTGGATGGTTTGATGCGTCAACATCCACATCTCGCGCATCCAAGCCAATTACAAAAGCAGCAACAGCAACAATCAGGCTATCACCAGCAGCAGTTGCAGCAGCCGCCACTGCAGCAGCAACAACAACCACATGCACAGCATGCGCATTATCAACATCAGCAACAACAACAACAACACCACCAGCAGCAGCAGCAGCAGCAACAGCAACAACACAAGCACCAGCAGCCAACAGTGTCACAACAGCAGGCGCAACAACGCAATTTACCACCACACCACCAGCAGCATCTGCCGTCTCAACAGCAACAACAAGCGCTGCGCTCGCATATGCAGCCTGGATCCGCACAGGTGTCAGGTGGCATGACGCAGCAACAACAACAGCAGCAGCAACAGCGCCAGCAACAACAACAGCCACTCCAACAACAAAGGCTTCCACATCAACACTCATACAGTCCACAAACGGCACAATTGCCCACGCCACCGTTTAGCGGCGGCCCAAGCGGCGCATCGTACCAGAAACCGGCGCCATTGTCGCGCAATCTCACTATAAGCGGCGGTCATGCCATGGATACGGCCAGCTATCCGCAACAACAACAACAACAGCTTCAGCATCAACAACAACGGCGACCACTAGTCGGTAGCCAATACGGTCCACCACAACAGCGCTCCTTCAGCAGCTCGGAAGAGGAGATACAAGCTCATATGCTAGCGCCATACTCGGCCGAATATAATTACGACGGTGAGTCGGCTCGTTTTGTCCAATTTGCATTTGTTTTCTACTCTCACTCTCTAACTTTGACTCTACAAAGAACACTTGCTATTTGAAACATTTGTGGTTTAACTTAATACAATTGCTCGCACTCACTGCTCATTGAGTATTCGATACAACTTTAATATTCGATTTTATGTTTTGAATTTTTTTGCTCAAAAAATTTATAATAAAGTGATGTTTTTAACATTTTAAATTACTAAATTACTATGCAACAAGTTTCAGTAATTTCCAATTCTATTCAGCAGTATTGTCGAACTTGCTGCTCGCATCAGTCTCCAATAACCACCTCATTGGTTTGTTGTCTCATTCGTTGGCAGTAACCGCTAATATTTGCGAATGCACATTGTTTTTATTTACTTAAAAAACTTATAATTTTTTATTTTTTATTTATTACACTTCCTGCAAATATAAACGGTTTTTATTATAGCACAGATAAACTAGCCAGACTGCGAAAAACTAAGTTAGCTTAAGTTAGACGCTATAAGAGTTTAGTTCATCCATTTGCATTGTATTCCTATCAACAGTTATACTATATATATTTATCAAGCCAGTTATCTGATCACTTTGTATAAAGAACTATGGACTTATGTTTTATAAACTTACTAAGATCTAGCTTATTTGTATGCTAACTTTAATTTAAGGAGCGTATGGCATTCATGAACACATGCTAAGTAATTATAAACCTAGAGAAATATTTATACTAGAGCTCTTATTCAATTCTTGGGCCCGATATATTAGCTTTTCGAGTATTTTTTTTTTTTTTATTGTTTTGGCTTTCTAAGTATGAGTGGAAGATTAATACCGGAGCTTAGGAATGTTTAAGTTATTAAAAATATAATTAATATTAATAGGAGTGTTACGCAGTCATAAAACAGTAATTTTTGGCCGTTCAATATAGAGCACCACGACAGTCAGATCTACGTAACTGGAACGGCCTGAAATTTTTTTTCGGCAAGGATTGTCCTCACAGCAGAAATCCGTAGAGGATTACTCGTAYTTAACGATATTTTTGGCTGCAAAATGAACAACTTGAAAATGTCTATTCTCTAAAACATTTGACCTTAAATATAGTACATCTCAGTAGAACTTTGATATTTACCCAAGGCTCTACAATAAAATAAAAGCCTTTGGCAGCTTCCCTATAATTTAGCCACTAAAGCAGGTGGGATCAAGTCAAGTCTGGAACACGGATCGCTCCCGCTCCCTATTTTGGGAAATCTGGTCTTTCTCTGTCTCTCTATTTGTCTGAGTTTCACAGTGGCTTCAAAAGTTTTTCCCTGCAGGAAATGAAAAAAGCCTTAATTGCCTTCATTATATGTTAGCTGGTACAGCAGATAAGGGTATTATATATCAAGTCTTTGACACGTCTGGTCGCTCTCTCTCTCTCTCCTGATATTTTGGGAGCTTTGGGCTCCTTCTCTCTTTTCCTTTATTTTGGGAGATCTGRTTTCTCTCTCTCTCTTCCTATTTGTCTAATTTTTACAGTGACTTTAAAACTCTATACCTGCAGGAAATGAAAGGAAACACTGAATTTTACTTTTGAGCAGTTCTCTAAGAAACACAAAATTTCGATGCTTTGATAAGTAAAAATCATTATACAACTAATATTCGACACACCTAAGTGCCACAAGATACTAATAAGCTTAAATTTTTGGGCACTAAATTAGAGGCTAATTATCGATCTACAGAAATGTCTTGATTTTGAACTCAAAGACTCATGTTTAATTTCTTGCATCAAAAAGAAACTTCGTGGTCGAATCACAGTGCGTTTAATGGACCTAAAAACTGGTACACACAAGCCGAAAAGTAGTACAAAATAGTCTACGAATCGGTGTTAAAACCACACACATAGTGTCAAACATAACTATACATATAGGTTCCGCGTGCGACAAAAGTGGCAAGAAGGCATGCCTTCACCCCGTGATCCTTAACAATGAGTGTTGCAAAATCGTGTTGCAATGCAAAATGAAGCAGCGAAGAAGCCGAACAAACGAAGTAGGCTATGAGTCCTTGTTGTTGCTGCTGTAAAGTTGTACATCTTTTTGCCGTACGTTGTTCTTCTTGTTGTTGTTTTGTTAACTTTTTATTATTTTTTTTTTTTGTTTTGTTGGTAATTGGTAGTTGGCACTACATGACTGGCTTGCTGGTTGTTGGTAGCTGCTGCCCTCTTCGCTGACCTGAAAACACAATTTGCAGGCGCATAACAATAACAAAAACAAGCAGAAGAACAGCAAAAGTCATAAAATATCTAGCACAACAACAAATACAAATACACAAACCACAAAAACAGTTGTGACCACGGCAAAGCTAGACGACGCTCCTTTGCTGGTTTTGGCGCAATTTTACGCCACAAGCACACGCATATACATGCATACAATACATTTTACATGCACACACACATGCAAACGTTTGTGCACTGCGCCACAAAAAATGTACAAACTTCTTCGGTCGTTGTAACAATAGCTAAACATCAGCGATAGCCACGTCAACTGCAGGCACAACAGCAGCACACAATATGCATTCCATTACATTTATGCATTTGTGAGTGTATCGTGTGTACACAATATTTCGAGATTATTACTTTTTTGCCGTTACTTGCATTCTTACGTTATTTCTTGTATCGAATGCTGAAACATGTTGCCGTTATTTTCCGCTCTTTTTTTTTCTTTTTTTTTGTGCCTTTTTGGTTCTTTCTTCGAACATTTCCTTTGCTTTCGGACTGTGCCAATTTTTGGTTCCTTGCTCTTGGCGGCGCCACCAATATAGCTTACACCATTCGCGCGGATAGCATTTACATTTCTAGGCAACGCTAGATTCATTACGCTAATTAGAGAGCAGCGGCGAAGTGGTCGCGCATAAGACACGCCTACACGCGCGTGTGTGTACGTGTGAAGTTATTGTAATCGTTTGGTGTCAGCGCTTAATTTGCACTCGAAGCCAATGCAAATGCAACTTTTCGCTGTTTCGTTTTTGTTGTTTTCGGCTTTAATGCAGTTCGCGAAAATCGCAGTGGTGTTGCCATTGCTGGAACACACCTACACTCCTTCAATATGTAAGTGTAGATGTATGGGTTTTTGTGTAAACAGTGGCTGTACCATTGCTGTGTGGCTTGTAGTAAAAGTTATTTAATGACTATTTATGGCAGTGACAATTGTTGTTGCACTTCTAACGGTGCTCATACATGCCACAAATCTGCAAGGCATTGCGAACTTACTATCGAGTTGCTGCAGTTGTTTACCGTTTGATAAAATTCAGTGCGAATTAGTGCAATTTTCCTGTCTCTCTCTCATGTTTCGCGAAACAGTGATGAACTCTGGTTCTGATTAATAGAGAAGCGAGGAAAAACTTTCAAACAGCGCTAGCTGTCACAATTTGATTTCGCTCGATTTTGTTTTTTTTTTTTTCGATTGAAAACAAAAAGAAAGTTTTGGAAAATAATATTCTCGTTTTAATTACTATCCCATATACTGTATTATGTAAAAATGCAGTAATAAGTTAGACTCCAAGTAGTACGGAATGAATTTTTTTAAAACAATGGCAACTCCATTATGGCGCAGGAAAACATAATTGTGTGTGAAAGAATAATTAAGACTAAAAGAAAGCCATTAGATGCCTCTCTAGGTAGTTGAAAAAACAGCAAAAAGCATATTGCCAGTTAAATTCAAGCATTGGCTGAACCTCCACATTTTAACCAAGCCACTTATTTGACTGAAAGCAAAACTTTTGTCTTTGTTCGGAAACACGCATGCATATTTCAGTCATCTTCCAAGTATTTGAAATGAGTTTTTCTTTATTAGCTTCCAAAATGTTAGCTAAGTTGAATTAGAATGCGTTATTGAAACTGCGCCGATAGAGAGTTCTGTGAACTTTCAGCCGCCTGCGAGGCTTAATTGATTTTTTAGTAGATTTTGATGACAGTAATGCACTGGCGGCTTCCAAATATCTCTTGCCACAACTTGGACCTCTTTTAAAAGTTCTTTTAGATCTAGTACTTCGAGTATAGCATTTAAACTCGATTCACACTTAGAGTTATTGTGGTTCGTTGCTTGGTGTCTGTTTGCATTTAAGAATATTATAATGGATCATCCCTCTAGAGGAACTTTTTTCAATAGCCTTTTTTGACAGATCTCCTGAGTCGTGTCAAGCTGTCATGTTTTTGTTTTCAACAAGACGGCGCCTCTTCTCACACATCGTGTCAATCAATCATTTATTGAGAAAAGCAGAGAGGCCTTGGAACAAAACATAACGTGTGTCATTCGCCAATAACCAAACGAAATTCTAGAACAGAAAATTGGGCTTTATTGATACACCATTTGAAACGTAGCGGCGGTCAACATTTGAAAGAGATAATCGTCAAAAAACAAATGCCAAATGTTTATTTCCGATGATTACAGACATTCCCCATTAAATTTAAAGTTTCTGTGTTTTTTCTTTAAAAAAGTAGGAAAACTCGAAATGAATCTCCCTTTATAATATTTTATTTCTTTAAAAGTTGTTAACTTCACAGGCTCTGAGGGTAATACATGAATTCAAAAAAATATATGACTGCCGGCTCGCTGGATAACGAATTAATTTGCTTCAGCTCTGTGCTAGATAACCAGGGTGTAATGTCTTTCAAGCAGAATTAGTTATTTAGTGTAAAAAAATTGTACATATCCAAATTTTATTGTCATTCATTATTTTGCCATGCCGTTATCGTCCACACCAAAAAAAAATTCAAATTGTGGAAATGTTGAGCGGGGCGTATGAGTAACTTATAAACTATATCGGAAAAATATGGATTAATGAATTTTGAATGAAGTTGTATGAATGAAGCTCGTCCTCTGACCTAGTGAAATACATAATATATTTTATTACTGCTTTATCTCATGAATTCAATTCATAACTGTCAATTTGACTCCGGAGTGATCGTATATTGCTATCTGTTATCCATTGTCATATATCGAGGAAAAATTTGTGTGAGTCTC